TTACCATTATTACAGCAACTAGATCGATATAATATATACTTTAAAAATTATAATACGCAGAATTCGTATTTTGCATCACATAAGACATTTTTCTAGCTAATAAAAAGATATTTTTTATCTATTAAATTATAAATATATAACTTTCAAATCATTTCTTTAACCATAAACATTATTTCATAATATTCAACACCATATATTCATCCATTTGACTTTCTAAAAAAAATTATCAAATTTAATCAGTTGTAACACCAAATTAAATAGCACTCATAATAATAAAATATATGATATTAACGCTTTCAACTCGGTACCATTTTTTTAAGAAATCGTGTTTATTTATTTATAAAAATTACATGTATAAAAACTTGTTTAGTCTGTTTAAAGTGGACACATAACCTGTTATCCACTACTTGTTGGTATTGAACAATTTATACTTTAAATAAGGCAATAACGGCGGCGACATATAAATATTGAAAAATAAAACTTTGCCTCACTATCTTATATGTGGCTATAAAAAAATTTGAAGAACATTTTTGGCTATATAAAATTTTTAATTTTTATGATAATAAAAGGAGAAGGGATTTAAAGTTAACACTTTGAAACAATATTAAATTTTTGACGAAGGGGGCCCCTCATCAAAATTTAGAAAGGGAAGTAAAAATTAAAATAAAATTGCTAGGGAAGGCATGTTTAGACCCCGGCTAACAACCGTAACCGTCACGAAATCAAACACATCGAGAGGCTTGTCAAGTGCATGAGCCCCGATACATACGCATTTGCTAACCCTTAATCGATAGGGTACACATCATTACTATGGCTATACATTATGTCCTTTCAAGAAAGATAAATGGATGCAGAGGAGATTAAAGTTGTCCCCGACCGGGTTTCTCTAGACACGAGACGACCAAGTCAGGCCGCTTCCTTTTATCGTCGTCCCAAGAATGAAGCGACTTCCACCAGGGGCAAGAAGAGGAAGTAAGCCCCGTCCGGGAGAAAACGATATAATTCCTTCTTCTTCCTCTTTCCTCTTTTCCTCCCTTCCCTACTTCTAACTTACTTCCCTCAGTTTCTTCTTCCCTTTTCAAGGCCACAAATCTTGACAAATGTCTCAATTCTGGATTATGGAGATATTCAGATCCCGGGGAATGGACCTCCGAACTGGAAGAGCAGAACAGCGAAGTTCCCTAAATTCTTATCTTAGGGAGCTGACGCGCCAGGTGCCTAAGGTAAGCCAATTGGCGATGAAGAATCCGAAGGCACGGGAAGCAGCAGCAGTCAATCATCTCAGCCGAGCCGCCTTTGCCAGTCGCTGGCCTTAATCCTCATTCGATATAGTTTTGCTATTGACAGAGGATTCAGGAATTCGGGAATGGAGGATTGACAACCTGTTCACAGCTTCCAGGTCTTCTCCACGTTCCAATATGGAAAAGTAAGTCTCGCCTATCGTGGAGTGTCTAGAAAGCTTGCTCTCCAGTTGGTGTGCCCCACGTGAGGTCAGTGGCCATCCCTCCGATTAATGGTATTTTCAGGGCATTATTCGAAACGATGGCAACCGACGTTCCTATAGACGCGATCTTCGAAGGTGGTCCTTCCCTTATCGGCGAGACCGAGCTCTAAATAGGACCCTTGATGTCTCCGTCCACCAAAGCCATAGCCAGGAGGGAATTCAGACTCAAACTGGATCATCTACGCATTACCACAAATGGATGTAGGTATTTTTGCCACGTCCGCGCCCGCAAACCTTACGAGAGTTGCTGTCCGATTATCCAATATCTCTTAGCTAGATTTGCTGCCCAATATAGGTAATCCCCAAATCTAACGGCGAGAGTGATTGCGACTTCTTCGAGGTGTCTAAGAATTTCCAGCACTATCCGTTTAAACTAAAATCGATCCTCCTTATGTCATCAAAATTAGAAAAATCTAGATCCGCTAACAAGATTCAGTTCAAGTCAGCCTTTTTCTTCATCCCCCTTGCAATAAAAGTCCAGCGTATTTTTGGAGTCTTTCAAGGCGGCAATTACCGCTACAAAATCCTATCTATGGGCGCTTCCTTTAGCTATTATTGCCTACATAGCACATTTTAGATACCTACGCCACTACCGTCAGGAAAGCCTGCTACAACTAATATCTCGACCCTAATCTATGGGAACACCGAGTTTGGTGTCAAATGATCTACCAGATCCTCTCAGATGCACCTTAGAAGGTTGGGGACTTACCATCTCGCTCAACAGGTCAGTTCTCGACCCAACATCATTCATTACCTACCTCGGAGCCCCCATAAACTTGGAATCAAAAACTGTATATGCCAACAACAACACCAGATGACTACTCTCCAGTTGCCTAGTAATCTTTCGCAAACACTCATATCAACATCTGGAAGTAGGTCGACTGCTCGCAGCTCGGGCACTTGTCGTCAATTACTGCGCTTACACTATCACCGGCATGTCGAGGCTCTTCTCCCTACGATGAAAAACAGCTCGCTCAAACTGGTAGTGAGCACCTACCTCACCTTCTGAAAAGCGGAAGTCATTATCGATGCCCTACCATATCTCATCAGCCTAAGATCCCACGCCGCGAACCCTCTGTATGTACAGGTCCAATAGCTTCATCGTTATCCTTTTAGGGATATGATAACATGTGGTTTCATTCACCGAAGCAGCCCTCCTCTTCGGAGTCCCCATGCATGCAATAAAAATTCTACTACAAACAAATAAAAAAAATTTTAGAGGGGGAAGAAGTGAACAAGTTCAAGTTCAACAAAAACAAGTTTAAGTGCAACAAAATTGGAAAATTCAAAGTCAAGTTCAAAATTCAAAAATTAAAGTCAAGTTCAAAAGCGAGAATATGACCTACGACATAGAAAATGATTGTTATAAATAAATAAAATTTTGTAAAAAAAAATATATATAAAATTTTAAAAGCTAAATGGAAAGGTCAAATGCAAACAACGGATCAACAAACAATGTTGGACGAGCGATGATACAAGGCACAAACTTCGAGGCAGATCGACAAATGAATAATGGAGCTATGAAGGAGATAACAAATGGAGGAAGAGTCACTTAGAAAAAGGGGGAGATGTTGAATATAACTAATCTAAATATCATATTATATTTATATTTTTTGAAGGTTTTTATATTATATGATATTCAAAATACCTTTTAAAAATTGTCTTTTCTATTTTAATATGTTAAAGAGTTTAAAATTGTCTTTTCTTATATAACATACTAAAAACCTTATTTTTATATCATTATATTTTGTGAATAGTTACAAAAACTGATTACTGAAAATGTATATAAAGTGTAATATATTTTTGTAAAAAACAGATATGTAAATTTTTCAATAAAAGTTTGTTTTACTCGTACCTTGTTTGCAATGCCTTCCATAAAATAATAAGAACAATTTATCCTTATGCAAACATAACGAACGCGTTCACGTTCAAGTTCATGTTCAAAAAAGGAACGCGTTCACCTTCATAAAACCGTTGAAAATTTTATGATAAATTTTTTTTAAATTTAATTTAATATAAATAAACTTATATTTTTTAATACATATTTTAGCCATGTTTAAAAATAATTATTTTGATAATATAATTAGAAATAAAATATAATATAGCGAATAAAAAGATATTTTTATTTATAAAAAATTTTTCTTATTTAATTTTAATAACAATTTGTTTTCAAAATATTTATCTGATAGATAAGAACACTTAGCAGTTAATACGGCATTAGTCTAAAAACGCGCTCTACAGGGGCAGATGAGGGGATTGCGGTATTATACTTAATAAACAGCTCTTTTAACGTGGAGAATTAATTAAAAACATATGTTCTCTACTCCCGACAAAAAAAAAGGATATCTCGAAATTAACAGTTCTCTAGGGTTTACAAAGCATTTTTTTCAATAACGCTATAAGTTTATTTTAATAGGTTCGTTCTGTGGAAGTTTAATCTTGGCCATTGAAGTTTGGATGCTGGATGTATAATTGCAGAAAGAACATATTGATCCTTATATATATGTTTAAATCTTTAAAAAAATAAAATGTATGTAATTATTTGAGAGTGATAGGTTTAATACCTTTTATTAATCCCATTTAACACGGCGTCTATCAATGGTTGACCATATTTGAGGCCACTAATTTTTTTAATTTTAAAATAACTATCGTTATTGTTGGGGTCAAATATCCCAAATGCATTATTTCTTCAAATTTAATGATTTAACTTAGTTATATCATATAAAATCAAATAATTAATATTAAAATCAAATGTCGTTTTAAATTGGAACCTGAAGATTTTGACATACTTGCCACATTTTACACTTGGTAAGCATTGGATTAGTTCCTTCAATATAGGATGTTAATGTAAAACATTTATCATATTTGGCCATAGTAATGATAATTCATCTGATTTTGGATTTTCAAATCAGGTTATGAGTAATAAATAATAATATCCATGCTTATGCTAATCTATTAAATTAAAATATAAACAATAATATTCAAATTAATAAACTATGTGTTAAAAAAAATGAAATGTGAAAAGGAAATACACAGCCGATTAAAAAATATAAATAAAACATTTTTTTAAAAAATTCGGAAATATTAAATTTTTCAAATAAATAAAAAAAATATTTTTAAAATTGAACGGTCATAAAAAAGGAACGCGTTCAGGTTCAAAGTTCGTCAAGAATAAAAGGAACGCCGTTCATCATTTTTTTCAAAAAAACGAACTTACGAACGCGTTCAATTGAACGCGTTCGTTTACAACACTATGGTATAGTAATTTTATTTAAAAAATCTTATAATAAGCCACCATTTATAATCTTACAACATAATTCTATTTACAATCTTTCAAGCCTATTTAGGGAAAAAAAATTTAAAAAATTTGTTGGTGATAATCAACTTATATTTAAATAATGCAACCTTTTCATAATTTGATTGATATTCACTTTATTTTCATAAAATATATATAAGTGTATTAAATGAGATAACATATTAATATTTCTATAAAAAAGATCTAAAATATTGTAAAAAAATATGACGAGTAATTTTTAAGAGGTATATTTAGCTTGATTCCAAATACCTATATTACCTTTTAATTAATTAAAAACATGTATTGTAAATAGAGCTATTATATAAAATACTAGAATAAAATGAATTATAGTTTTTGCATTGAAATTATAAAATGTTTAATTAAATTTACATTTTTTAAAAAGCGTATATATTCGCTGTGAAAAAGATACATTACTGATTTTATATTACCATAATGATGAAATCGAATGTGCAAATAACGTTCAAGTCCTAAAAATATCTCAATTGGTGTATATTCTTAGGTGTTGGTATCCTTCGAATAGCATCTATTTTTTCCTTCTCTGTGTGGATGCCATTTTCATCTATTGCAAATCCTAGAAAAGGAACTGATTCTTTTAAAAAACGAATTTTCCCCCATTTTGCCTTCATACCAGCCTGTTACTGAAATACATATAAAAAAGGATAAAAAATTCAAAAACCATTTTAAAAAATTAATTTTTTTAAAAAAGCATTATATTATATATATTAAAAATTATATGTAAAATATTAAATAACAATAAAAATATATTGTAAATTTTTTCTCGCATAGTTAAATTAGATATTTATAAATTTAATAAAATTTATAATGTTAAACTAATTAGATAGTTTTAAAAATTTTAATTAATTTTTTATAATTTTTAAATAAAAGAAAAATCATTTAATTTGGTATATATAATGAGAAATTAAAGGTGATTGCTAATATGTTTGGGATTAAAATTTTTAAACCTATAGTAGTTTCTAGATAGTCCAATCGCTTAAATATTGATGCATCTACGATTGAGGATTCTCCCCTTATTGATACATTTTTATTTCAATTAAATGAAAGATTTATTAGTCACAATTTTATTTTAAACAGCTTTTATTTTCTTTTGCCGGTTGAGTCTAAATACACTTGAAATGCGAGAGGATATTAAGAAGATCTCAGAGTTTTATGAATTATCAGGATCGTATGATAAATTACTTTGTGATGTCGAATTTTGGTATAAAAATTTTGACAGAATAGAGTACTCTTTGAGACCAAAATATGCTTTGCAGACCCTTTCCATGTATAATTGCACTTTAGATTCCCTGCCTAATATCAAAACATTGCTTTTTGCACTAATGAAAGATTTTTTTCAACTTTGAAAAGGTTATAAACCTATTTAAGAAATAGCACCGGTGAAAGCAGTTTAAATGAATTCGCAATATTAAATATTTATAAGGAGATTATTCTAGATAAAAATTTGATTCAAGATGAATTAGTCAAATCTCAGAGAAAAGTAGACCTCTCTTTATAAATTCAAATTATAAAATTGCTATATTATTATAATATGATCTTAGTCATGTTACTATAGTTAGACACCAATAAACACAAAATTGACAAATTTTAAAAAAAAATTTTAACCCCCCCCCCCCATTTCAATTCTGGCTACGCCACTGATGTTAATGCAAATTGTGTTATAATATCATCAAATGTAAAATTTTCAAAAACATTAATTTCGCTGGATATTAACAGTAAATTTTCTAAAAATGGGTCCGAAATTTCATTTCCGCATTCGAGTTTTGTTTATTTTTACCTCATAGCTCTTTCAGCTGAACATGAAGTTGTAGGAAGGGTTAATAAATATTTATATAATAAATTTAAATTAAAATAAGAATTTAATTGATTTAAAAGTCGGTATGGTAATATAAAAGAATATTTTATCCATTTTTTTATTTTGATCATGATCTCAATTATGATATTTTCTTCGGTAGTTTGATCGTTTGCAATACCTTTAATTATATACAATTGCAAATAAAATATCAATAAATTACTTTCATCAATATATAACTAGTGTCATTCTTTTTAACTTTCAAAGATCTTCGCAAAAAATGATTGATTGAGACTCCAAATATAAAGAGCGAAAATCATTATATTCATCAACAATGTTTTAGGCATCCAATTTCTATCATCCCATAGGCGTAGCCATGATTTTCGGGGGGGGGGGGGATAAGTATGACAAATTTCGGATATTTGCCATCCTTCTATTTTTTCATTATCCATAATTCCAGCGGGAGTAAAAATGGATATTTATGATAAAAAATTTAATCATAATTAAATCGATCATTTAAGTGGTTAATTATTGCATTTAGACAAAAATATTTCCGTTCTATATCTATAACAATAAATAATAATTAAAAATTTTTTTAATTTATTCAACTTGTTTTTTTTTTGTTCAACATAATTATTGAATTCTGTTTGATTCAATATTAATATTGATTTCATATTATACAAATCAGTTATTACATTATTCTTTTTCAAAAAACTATTAGATAAAGAATGTAATTTTAAAAAAATATTGTCTCCATTAGCTATATTTTAAAATATTTATAGAAATAGTAACTAATATTAACCTTTTAGTCTTTGTAATTTATTTTTTGTATGTTGTATTAATTTGGTTACCATAGCCAAATCATTACCAACTGCCTGCATTTCAATACAAGCCTCATGTGTGCATTTCAACATTTCTTTCAAAATAAATAGACTTAATATGAAATTTTCATCTTTAATTCTTGATAATAATCTATCGGCAATGGAAGAGGTGCTTGGGTCATTAGAATCTTTTAATTCAACTAACTAAAATATGTTCATAAACATCTAAAAAAAATTCTTCAGATTTGTAAGATGATGACCAATTTCTGAAAATATATAAGTTTCATTAAAAATATTTTATTTACCTTGTTGTGTTATTAATTCTTTTAAGAGATTTCTTGGACTTTCTCATTTGATATTTAACAAGCACATCTTGAGGTCTAACTCCATTCATAAAATTATATAACTCATCTAATATTCCCATTGCCTTTTTCATTTCAATTTTGCATCCACAAACATGAGCAACTACTAAATTTAGCCTAACCAAATATAGATGGCTTTTGGAGCCTCTTTCAATATTAAAGCCTGCATTCCTTTGTATAGTTAAAAATATGTTTCTTTATATTCTCCCCAGTGGTTTCTGATGTTGTAAAAACATGTATGATCCTTACTACAGGATGTGGATGCAAATCATCTTCTATATACCGTACAAGCAAAGCTATGCATTCTTTTTAGACACATCATATGTTCCATCTAATATAATGCTATAGGCACGATTCTCTTTAATTTTTTGAATAATGCTTTTTGTTATTTTTATCTTAATAATTTCAGTTATTTTTTTCACGTGGCCATATGACAGCAAATTTATATAAGGTCTCGAAATTTTAACTGATTATTTTCTCCGCAATTTTTCGTTATTATTCATGTATGCACGTAAAGTTGGAACCGTTTTGCCATTAATTTAGAGCACATAAAATTACCTTCATTCGAATTAGAACCAAAGCCTATATTACATTTTATAAGGTACATAATGGCATCGATAATATTATGAACTATATTACGATTTTACATGATTATATAAAGCTTATTTGATAGCATCTTGAATGCGCTTATTTGCAAGACAAGTCATGTTTGCATATCGATCCTTATGAATAGAAGATGATTCGTATCTCTCTAAGTCAAGCTTAATGTTTTTCCAGTTATTTACTCCAAGTTGAGTCCAAAAAGTGTTAGACTTAGGGCCACCAAACATAATAAAATATAGACAAAAGACGATAGCTAATTTCTGGGGTTGAAGGAATCATCTATATTAACCTTTCTATATTAGGTTATGCTCCTGTTTAAAAAAATAAATACTGGTATAGAATTAATGGATGGGTAAAAATTAATGAAAATTATATATTATTTAAACCTCAGGATATTGAAATTTATTTCTACATGGCTGACATGGGCCTACAGCAATTATGAAATTAATCAGAATATTTGTCATCCTAAATAATATGAAGTGAAATGGGTCATTTGGTTCCTTCTTTTTGTATAGCTGAATAAGACTTGGATTTTGAATATCCTCGTAATTTATTCCTTTCAAAAGTTATTATATAAATTTTATTTAAATTAAATACCTCATCCAAAGTAAGCGCCTCACTGGAACTGGGGATTGAATGAGGAGATAATACAATTTGTGAATCTTCAATAACGGAGATTTATTATACATAAATAGTTGTTATAATTTGTTAACTTATGAAAAACTATATTTTTTTAAATATAATTTTAGCCAAATGGTAATTTTATTCTTAACTACATTATTATTAAGTTTTTAATAAATGTTGGAAATATTTGAATATCCTCATAATCATAATTTATCCCCTTCAAAAGTTATTATATAATTCGTATTTAAAATACTTCATCATGCAAAGTAAGCGCCTCACTGGAACTGGGGATTGGATGAGAAGATAATACAATTTGGAAATCTTCAATAACGGAGGTTTGCTAATTAATAAATAAAGAGTAGTTTAAATGACAATAGAAACCATGGCTCATAATCCTAGACACCAAGCGCCTTATTTAAATAAGATCAATACAATGAGATTTAATCCTACAAGAATACATGATTGAGAAAATAGGCATTAAAAATATTATGAAGTTCAACATAAAGTTATCAGGTTACAATGGCAAGACAATACAAGTGATAGGTACAGCACAAGTGAATGTAGAATACTAAGGGAATTTTCAAATTTTTAACGCGTTAATCATAAACAGTAATAAAATGTCTTTGTTAGGAAGATCATGTTAAAACATTTTGAAAATATACTTGAAAGATTCATAGGCATGATAGATGCAGATTAATATAAAACCTATGCGATCACATGAAGAAATCATAAAAGAATATTATAGTGACTGTAAAAACAATAGTAATCTTATAAATAGAAAAATTAGTATAAATAAAATTGTGAAGTTCATGATGAAAGTATATTATTTAAAGAAATTCTAGTAGCTAAATAAAACAATGATAATAATATAAACATACTAAATATAACACATAATGTAAATAAAGGGGATGAAATTCCCACAGATAAAATTTTGAAAATAGTTGAATCCAATTCATATTTTAAGGATAAATTTATATAAAAAAAGTAAAAGTAAGAACTTTGAAATCTTATTTCAATTAAATGAAAGGATTTAAATTTAAAAATACCTTGAAATTTACATTCCTTACTTTTATTTTTACTACATTATATTAACTTAATAAGTTTTTTTAATACTTTGGTTTTAAATTATTATTATTAACCTATTAAACATATTGTTAAATTGAACTTTATAAAGTATATATAGATATAAAAATGGTGTGATAAACAGTTTAAAAAAAATATTTAATAATAAAAATTATAATTTATTTTCTCCATATCCTGCCTACTTTAATATTAATATTTAAAGTATTCTGGTAAAATTCTAAATGAAGAATCAGTTTCTATTAATTCACAAATTTAAGGTATATTTTCAATTATATTTATTGTCTTTAGTTACAATAATAAATAAAAAATATTACTTTTCGGAAGTAAGATGTTATTGTCTTTTTTTGCAACTGGGTTTCAACTCCATTTGTGATATTATATGGAATTTCACAATTTGAGGATACCCAATTATTATTATATCTTTTGATGGCTATCTTTGTAAATTTCATATCAGCTGGCTTGACATGAGGATATTTATGTTTATAATGTTAATGTATCTTGTTACTTCTTATTTTAGAAGTTTTACAATTAATATATTCATATTTCACTTTAAATAAGGTTCTGCTACTTGGCATCTAGAATGTAATAATTATTAGAATATTACTTTTTACATATTATATTTTTTATTATTCTTTGCCTTCTGGTATATTTTTTTATAAAAATTACCTCTATACTGGTAAATAAATTGCTAAAAAAATCTAGAAATTTATTAAAAAACATAATATAAATATGTTAATCTCTAAGAAAATTACCAAATAGGATATGTTTTAACTTGTAAATATTATTAATAAAATGGAAAATGAAAATGATTCACAAAGAAAGTTTATATTATTTATTAATTGACAAATATCTTTACTTTAATTGACATTTGTCAGAAAATCAACGATAACCATCATAATCGTATCAATTAATAGATTTTAAAAGATTATAATTGAAATCAAAAATATCCCCCAAAAATTAATGCCTGCCCCCATCAACCCTGCCCCCCCCCAAAAAAAAAGATACCTCCCCCCTAAAATGGCAATATATTTTGGAGGCATTTGTCTTCTACCCCCCCCCCTCCCGGCCATGTAGACACTCATAGGACCAGGTTGGCATTTTGCCAACGAGGCCGCGAGAAAGGAAAATATCAAAAAAAAGGTCGATTAGAAAAAAAAGATATTTTTATGTTTACATTATTTTCTCTTATTATTTATTTATTTTTAATGATATCTATATTATTTGAATATCACATTCCTTGAGAATTATGTCGTTTACTATATTTTAATGCAAAAAATATCAAAAAAGTCGCTTGATGCTATACATCATTACCACGTGCTCTTTTTTTGTTTTTTTTCAAATGAAGCGAAAACGCTTCCATTTGAGTTTGGTAGAGTGAAAGCTAAGTTTTGATTAATATTGTAGAAATAATATAGCCAACATTTATGATTGTATTTCTTGTTCATAATTCATTGAAATTAAATAAAACCCAGGTCTAATAATTTTAATAAAATAAAATTTTGATCAATTTGATTTTCCAATATTTCTTTTTATATTCTAATATGAAATAAAGTCAAAACTGAGTACTGCTCAATCTGCCTGGCATTTGCAATATGCGAAAACACTTTCACAACAAGCTCAATAAATTTTCGACATCTGAATTTAGTAATTAAAATACATGAAATTCAAGAGTTCATATTGATGCACGAGACCTACCTCAGAGCATCAAAAAACAAGTCATTTGAAAATTGAATTAGTGTTAAAATATTAAATGGAAAAAATCGACAAATTTATAAAATGTCCACTTAATAAAACAAATATCGGAGATAATAAAGTTTTTAGGCAAAAAACTTACTGTGCAAAGGATCAAATGCTACTTAAACACTTAAACACTTTAAAAATAAAAATTTGAATCATGGAAATTTACTGTAAATGATTCGTATTATATCAAAGAATGATTAAATATTCAGAAATCATTTAGAGAAAGCTATTTTAAAGAGAAAAAGTAGAAAAGTAAAGCTTAAACTCTTTGACAAATCATAATCGAAGAGAAAGGTTCACTCATATCCTTGTTGTCAAAAACAACTGTTAAAAAGTTATTGATGTTGTTCCTGATCAAATTAGGAATTTAATAAAAAAGGAGATTTTAAACAAACGGTTTTGTTTGCAAATGGATATTACTCAAGACATTAGCGTTTATGAGCAAGCAACCATTTACCTACAATACATATATAATGGCAAAATAACAGAAAGGCTTTTCGCACTTACAAAAGTTACAAACTCTTCTAGAAAAGGATTTTTTGAAATCTTGAGTGAATGCCTTTAAAACATGGAATTCAAATGAGAAATATAATAGGATAATCATTTGATGGTGCTGCAAATATGTGGGGTGAATTTGTTGGGTTGCATGCTCTTATTAGACTAGAGGTTCCAGGTAGTTTTTTATATTTGGTGGTAGAGTCACATATTAAACCTCTGTTTATGTGATTCATGTGATAATATTGAAGCCAAAATTTTATTTGGATTATTGAACCGACTAGCAACTTCTTTGGTAAATCATATAAAAGGATGGATGCTTGGGTAAAACAGAATAATTCATCTGGCTAAAGTAAGTTGAGAAGGCTGCAAAAAATAGGTGAGACAAAGTGGTGGGCACGTGCAATAGCCCTTAGATGGACATATCGTAAAGAGAGCTTGCTCCCAATAAGGATAGGTACATTTCAATTTATAATAGATAATAAATCATTTGAGGCAATAACCTCATAAGAAGTCTTTGATCGAGAATTTATGTTGATGTCATTATATCTTCAAACTAAAAATTTAAATATATTATTAGCATGGAAAATGATAGAAGATGCTAAATCTTCTGTATCAATTCATCGCTAACTATTACATCAATTCAAAATAAAACAATAAAAATGGCTTCTAATTTAAATGAAACATTTTCATATTCATAGCTCCCGGAGAGTATCTGAGTACAAAATGCTGTGTAAAAAGATCGAATATGACGAGCGAAGAGAATATATAGTGACGAAGGCCAAGATAAACGTCCTTAAGAATCGATTGACCTTTATAGGGTCGAAATATTTCGTCCTATAATTGATCAAATTATAGTTTTTTTCGAATAGTAACTTATTTTGAATGTACAATATTTGCAGCCAAGGCATTTTGATGAAATAAATAGTAAAGGTATTTCTGAAAAGGCCTTAGGAAAACTATCACAATTGGCAAATATATTGAGTGTTAAATTACGTAACGAATTGTGTTCATTTGCCAGTGTATTATTATATATATTTTTTAAATAAAAGATTATATATAAATTTTATATGTATTTTTAAAAAAATATGATATGTACATCTGTACATACAAATTCCGCTGCCACCATGTTAAGGTTGGCAGGGAGTATACAAGATTTAAAAGATAATTTATAATTTTTTTTTTATTAAATTTATTTTGACTGAAAAAATACAATAAATTTTTTCTTTATATAGTTTACAATATAAATTTATATCTATTAAATAATTTATATAAAACTATTGAGTGAGGTTAATATCAATTTAGTATAAAGAAAATTATATCATTAAGTTAACAGTTGTGTTAATTAAATGAATGCAACATATAACAATTTGCACTATACAACAACCAGTATATATATATAGATCCATATTCAACATTCCACCCTCTAAAGGAACCCCGCCTATCTGGCAGATCCACTATATAAAATAATTAACAAAGATAAATGGTCTTGGGATACCGAACATCAAGAATGCTATAAAAGATTAAAAACTTTAATCAGTCAACCTCTCACATTGAACTTTTTCAATCTTGATTTACCCATAGGTATAGTCGCGGATGCGTCTAAACGCGGTTTGGGAGCTATTTTATTTCACATAGAAGGGGACGGCAGAGAAAAGCCGATAGCTTTTGCCTCAAGATCCTTACTAAAATCCGAAAGAAATTACACTAACATTGAACGCGAGGCGTTGGCGACTATTTTTGCGATGAAAAGATTTCAAGAATATCTAATCAGAACAAAATTTACAATCATCACCGATCACAAGCCTTTGATCTATATTTTTTCCAAGGGATTAAAAGGAAATTCATCTATGTCGATGAGGTTGAAGAAATGGAACATTGCAGTGGGAGCTTACCACTTTGAAATACGACATAGAGCGGGTAAACACAATATGGTGCCAAATTGTTTGTCCAGATTGCCATTAACACCTTCAGAAGAAGAAATACACATTGTGGATGATATAAAAGAAAATAATGATTTATGGGACGTACCAATTAACTTTAAAATGATCGAAAAATAAACTTCTAACGACAGAGAATTAATGGAAATAATGAACGACATTAGAAACGGTGACACGATAAAAAATAAAACATATAACAATATGGTGACGGAATTATGTATTATTGGAAATTGTCTAATTAAAGAAAATAAAATCATCATACCGAAAGTTTTAAGAAAATCAATACTACAACATTTACACGAAGGACACTTGGGTGCTGGCAAAACTAAACATTTAGCTAAAGAATACCTTTGGTGGCCTGGAATTAACAATGATATTGATAACGAAGTAAAAGAATGCAAATCATGTAACATTTGGGCCGATAATCCCATTAATACACAGCATCCTTAGATGTTAACGACGAAACCATTCGAAAGAATACACATAGACTACGCTGGGCCATTTTTTAACAAGTACTGGTTGCTTATAGTAGATGCATACAGTAGGTTTCCTATAATCACGCTGGTGAAATCAATAACCTCGGAATTTACAATAAAAGAATTGATGAAAACAATTAGCTTATTTGGTATTCCAGAACAAATAGTTTCTGATAATGGCTCAAACTTTACAAATCAACTGTTCAAAAATTTTTTAGAGACCATGATATGCATCACTTTCAGACTTCAGCCCACCATCAATGTCAAATGGGCAAGTTGAAAGGATGGTAAGAACTTTTAAATCACATAAGAAAAGGTGCATGGAACAAAACAACATGGATATAGATATCGCTTTGGAAAATTTTTTGTTCAACTACAGAAACATGCCAAACAGTACGACTGGCATCCCATCAAGAAAACTTATGTTCAATCATGATATGAGAACTAATTGGGATTTATTAAAATATAAGAAAGACAACGACAACATTTTGCTCACAGCTTTACCAAAAAATAGAACTATAAATATTGGAGAAAAAATTTGGTATAAATTTAGGATTAAATAAATGGGATGAAGGCGTTATAGTTAAAAAAGAAAGTAACATGCTATATCAAATTCACACGAAAACTGGTATATTAAGGAGGCACTTAGACCAACTTAAAAAAGATTTACCACTGACGAAATATTCATTCATGACCCAAACACTTTACCAACGGTTACATTTTACAAAAGGAGAAATGTTATTGACCAAGAAAAAGATTGTACAGCCAACGTTACGAGGCCTAGTCGAAATAGAACATTACCCACACGATATCAAGATTATATTTTGAATAAAAGATTCACGTCCAAGAAGAACTTGAACGGAGTTTATTTTTTAAGAGGTGGAATGTTGTGATCCTAATTGATCGCTATCTATTAACCAGAGTTGTTAAATTTTGGTAGCTATAGCTAATAGCGGCTACTTTAAAAATATAATGAATGTAAGTATAAGCACGAAAATTTAAATATAATACCATAATTAGAAGAGAAAGATGATCTTTAGAGCTATCCTCGATGAAGCTGTAATGGAAATCCCTAAGGATGACCTGGTCATAATTGGTGGTGACTTAAATACGCATGTGGGGAAAGCAAGAGATAGCTACAAAAGGCATCATGGTGGTTTTGGATATAGAGAAAGAAATGATGAAGGAGAGCATATACTGAAATTTGCGCAAGCCTTCGACCTTGCCTTAACCAACACCTACTATAGGAAAAAGGATAGTCATTTAATAACATACGAAAGTGGTACAAGGAAAACACAGATAGATTACATACTAATCTCTCGCAGAAGATTAAAAGATGCAATAGACTGCAAAGTCATCCCAAGAGAAGATAACGCCGCACAACACAAGCTGCTAGTCATGGATTTACACATCTCAAATAAATCCACTCAAAACAAGATAAAACTGGAACCAATCAAATGGGGCAAATTAAAAACAATGACAGAGGCCTTTGCAATCAATGCAAACATTGAAACAATAGATTCCTCACAAGTCAGTGAAAAAATGTGGACAGACCTTTCATCCAGATTAATAGACACTGCCAAATCGACACTAGGCTTGACAAGAGGAGGCAACAAATCATACAAAGAACTATGGTGGTGGAATGAAGAGGTACAAACCACTATACAGGAGAAGAAAACCCTTTATAAAATATGGTACAAATCCAAAAACGCAGATGACAAGACAAGATACAAAAAATCCAAGAGATTAGCTACAAAGGCGGTGGCTAGAGCCAAATCTATGGCATACGATGACATGTAATAAGATCTTCATACCAAAGAAGGGCAAAATAAAATATACAGATTAGCCAAGCAGCGAGAAAAGAACTCTAGGGATATAAACGGAGCTCCGAAAGTAATCAAAAATAAAGATGGGAAATTGATAATAAAGGAAAAAGAAATAATGAGTAGATGGAGAGAATATTTTCAGGAGCTTCTAAACTTTAATCCGCACATACTGCATCTAGACGAACACTCCCCATGTCAAAATCTTGTACAACCTATAACACAACAAGAAATAATCACATGCCTCAAGCATATGAAAAACAACAAAGCTAGGGGTCCAGACGATATTCCAATAGAAAGCCTTAAAGCACTAGGAGATGATGGAATACATCTCCTCACAAATCTATACAATAAAATACTTGGAAATGAAGAGGTTCCCCAAAAATGGAGGCAGAGCTATCTAGTTCCTATCTTCAAAAATAAAGGGGATCCACATAATTGTCAAAATTACAGGGGCATAAAACTAATGTCACACTGTCTAAAACCACACGAAAAAATAATAGAAAAAAGATTAAGAGATATAATCGAAATAGGAGAGACTCAGTTTGGCTTTATGCCTGGAAGATCAACAACCGATGCTATCCACGCAATTAGGCAAGAGTGAAAAATACAGGGAAAAGAACAAAAAGCTACACATGGTCTTTCTCGATCTAGAAAAGGCCTTTGATAGAATCCCAAGAAAACTTATCTGGTGGGCGCCACGCCACAAAAATGTTCCCGAAAAATATATAAGAATAATACAGGATATGTATATGGGCCATACAACAATGGTCCGTAGCACAACAGGTACTTCAGCAGGCTTCACAATAGCCGAAGGAGTTCATCAAGGGTCGGCTCTCAGCCCACTTCTCTTCATTACAGTAATAGATGTATTAGCACAGTCTATACCTCAAACAGTCCCGTGGAATATGATATTTGCAGATGATATTGTGATATTTGACGAATCTAAGGATAAAATGAAAGAAAGACTAGTGAGTTGGATAAATATCCTAGAAACGCACGGATTAAAAGTAAATAGAGAAAAGACGAAGTATATGGTGATAGGAGGAGATGAAATAGAGAGTATTGATATAAATGAATGGCAGATATCGGCAATTGAAAGCTGCAAATATTTGGGCTCCACTATACAAACAAACGGCACAATAGAAAAAGAGATAAAGAGTAAGATTAATCAAGGGTGACTAAAGTGGAGATCTTTATCTGGAGTGCTATTTGATAAAAGAATCCCACACAAATTAAAGGGAAAAATTTACAGTTCCATAATACAACCAACTATTCTATATAGTTCGGAAACATGGCCAACCCAAGAATCAGACGAGAGAAGTCTACAAACCATGGAGATGAGAATGCTGAGGATGATTGCTGGGGTAACAAGAAAGGATAAAGTGCGCAGTACAAGATAACTAAGTAGTTTAAAGGTAATGCCCATTAAGACTAAGTTAATGGTAAACAGACTTAGGTGGTATTTTTATATATTTTTATATGTTTCGAAATTTTTTAGATATTGATATATTAATGTATCAATTTATTAATGTATCAATTTGGTATTTACTTTATTTCCACAAAAAAATAGAATAAAAAAAATATAATAATCATATTTCTTTTTTTTTTCAGGGTTTTTATAACCCACATAAATAATAATAAAAAAATATTGATAAAAACAAATAATATTGATTAAAAGAAATAATATAGACAAAAAAAATAATATTGATTAAAATATTGACAACAAAAATATTCAAAATGACTTGCTATAAAAACAAAAAAAAATATTCACAACACGCCCCCCATTAATTACAATTAAACCTGCTATATAAAGAGAAGAAAAAAACTAACATGAAAACACAAAAAAAACCGTGTGGGAAGAATATATGGAGGTACAAGAAGGTGGGAGTCAGGGGTGATCGTAGAAAACATTGGAAATAAATTAAGTCGAGTAAAATTCTCTGAAGAAAGAGAAGGAATAAGGCATCGGGACCAACTATAAAGGGGACTGGAGCCAGGAAGATTACGATCAGGCAGTGGCGTAGCTACGGGGGTGGTTTTCGGGTTTGGACCCCTCCCAGAGCAAATTTTTTTTTTTAGATTATACGTTCAAAAGACTTAAAAGTGCTTTATATCAAATAAATACCATTAATATTTATATTTTTCTGGATTTTGTGGAAGGATATTATATTACTATTGAAATTATTATGGGTAGTATTATTATAAAGAATAACATATTATTCATGCATTTAAAAAATATATTTATTATATATTGTCGAAGATGTGGTTATGATTTTTAAGATAAACCCGGCCGAAGGTCGGGCAAAAGGGCCGAAGGCCCGTTAAAGGGGGTCTGGGGGCGAAGCCCCCAGAATTTTTTATGTATGGACCCCCTCTAAGAAAAATTCCTAGCTACGCCACTGCGATCAGGTGTTTGAAGCAAAAAAAATTACGATCAGGTGTGTGAAGCAAAAAAGATTACGATCAGGTGTTTGGAGCAAAATGATATTATATGGCATATTATATGAAATTAAAAGGAAATATATGTGTCTATGCAACAATACCATGAAATAAATATATATATATATATGTAACGTTTTTTTTTAAAAAATATCGAAATTAGTATATCCAAGTTAATCATAGATTCATGGATATTACATATAAAATTGTTGGAAATCCCATGAGAATAATATGGGATTGAAAGGAAATATATTTGTAATAATCAGTGTAATATATATATGTAACGTTTTTTTTAATATATCGAAATTAGTATATAATGTTTAACATTGTTTAAAAATTCTTAATATACCCAAATTAATTATAGATTCATTGATATAATATATAAAATTGTTTAAAATCCCATGTTGGGATAATATGTATCTTAAAGAGCAGTTTAATTGTTCCAATCATATAGTATTTTTTGTTTATACGATTTATAAAATTCTTATGTTTCCCTCATTTTTTTTTGAAGAGAAATAATAGCATTATTGGCTCATAAAACGTCATAAATCAGATAACTTATGGTATGAAAAAAAATGTTATGTGGTGGTGCCCAAATAATAGTTTGTATTGAATTGTCAAGTTAATAAATCATGGAAATGAATAAAATTGGTACAAGATTGTATCTTGTTGGAGAGGGAATAGAAGGGTGATGACAGTAAAAAAAAAGGGGAATAAACATGTTTTGAAGAAGATTATTGGAAAGAATAAAAGGAGGATTATCCAAAATTTTATATTTTAAATTCATTCAAAAAAATAAATTATTAATAAAATTTAGTTGTAAAGAAATTTGTTTTTGTATTCAAGAAGTAGTTAAAAGTACATTATATATTTTTTTTTATTATACCTTTCCTTTCTTTTATAATAGGACTCAGAATGGCAGCCATCCATGAATGTATGTATTGGGAGAATATAACAATTCGAATTAGTATATTCCCGGGAAGGGTAGATGCAGAGGGAAATCGTTTGTACCACGAATCGAGACCCATTCTCAGATCCCCGCGAAGAAGACAAATAGCGCCATTTGAAATGATCAATTGAAGAGGGCGGGAGTCCGAATTGCCCGAACCCAATGATTCGGGCAGGCGCAGGATAAGGAATGTTAGATTATGCTTCATCTGTGGAGCCCGAGGTCACTTGCAAGTTCGCTGCCCCCGTGGGCCCCGCCATGCTTTTGTGAGAAGGTATGATGACAGAAGAAATTTCATAGGAGCAAGGGATGAAAGTAATAGTGGGGAGCGGAGACGAGGAGCCTGGCCAGTTCGGACCGTGTTACCCGCCGTGACAAGAGCAGAAAACATACAAACAACTACGGGGGCCCATATAAATGAGGCCGCTATAAAAAAATGCCCACGAGACCGTAGCGTCGCCAGTTCGCCTTTGGCCCTCCCTCTTTCTATATTTTTTTTTGTTTTCGCTTACCATTTATTATATACTTCGTTTGTGATTTCTCTTGTACCTAAAATTTTCGCTTAATATATTATTAAATAGAGCATCCAAATACAGAAGCCATTAGGCTAGATTTTGTCATTTACCATAATGGGTATACAAATTCTAGTTTGTAGCAATATAAAACTATTTTTAAAAATATAAAATAATGAAATTTTTTAACTAGCATTCACAATATCATAATCTATTTGTCACGGATCTATCTCTGTCAAAGGTGACAGTTTGCCAATGGATTTAGGATGTATCTAATATATTAGATATAAAATTATGGAAGATTTAAAGACTCAACTTAATTTTGATTTTAGTAATCCAAAATCTAGTTTAGAAAAAGCAGGTCTTACTTTAGCTTGGATACAAAAAGTCGTTTTAAAAGCAAAAAACTATAATGTTAAATTCTTAATTGAGTTAATAAAAAAACAAAAAATAAATGCCATATCCTTAAATAGTTGGGATGATCCTATTTGTAGTAATATATTAAATAGGGTTAAAAAAATCTTAAGAGATGAATCTACCAGTAAATTCATGATAAAAATAATTTTCAAACTATTATAGATAGGAATGATTTATTAGCTGTAGACATGCTGCATGGTCTTCTATTAAATTCATCTGATAACATGCTTTCAGATTATAATTCAGAAACAGAAGAAATTTATAAAGAAAAAATATTTGAAGCCTTGAATGAATTGCAAATTGAATTGGAAAATTGGTTACATAAACATTTTTTATTTAATAATTTATTATTTAAGTCAGGAAAATATTAGTATTCAGGCTCTTGAACATATTCATTCAGATGAGACTATCATGACCTTAGGTAGATCTGAGACTGTTGAAAATTTTCTACAGCAAGCTGCAAAGACTCGTAAATTTCATGTCATTATAGCAGAAGGGGACCCCTCATTATCAGTTATACAATTTCATATATATTTGAAGCCATATCTCTTGAATTAAAATATTATGTTTATATTTATTAAATTTTATAAGAAATAATAGGGTTGGCAGTTTAAAATTGTTTAAATCTCCTTCCTCCTATTTTTTTACAAAAATAATTCTTTGCAATGCTTAGCTATAAAATGTTAGAAAGATTTTTTGAAATGTTTGGCCAGGTATGAAATGAATTTTACTTTGCTCAGCCCATAAAATAATTGTAAACAGATTATCTGTCATGGAAATTTGTATAAAATGAATTTCTTTAATTATCTACCCTAAAAATTTTCAAAACTTTGACCCATCACTTAAAAATCTGGACTGGACAGTTTTGTAACACCAAATTATAAAAAACCTGCAAGCCTGGCCCTAAGCCTGGATAAATGGGTTGGGTCATATTTAATTTTTTTAAATATACCTCAGGCAAAAAATTTCTTAAATACCTGGGCTAGGCCTATATTTTTATAAATTCAGGCTGGGCCTGAAAATATAAAACCTTGCTGCACTAAAAGTTTCAATGGGTAGCTATGATTTTTAAATTTTTATTGGCTTGCGTTGGCACACCAAATTAGCTGCTGCTTAATGAATTTAGCATCAATGGTGGTGCCACATGTTTTAAAATAAATGTATTTGGGTCCTCTTAGTTTCAAAATTGTTAATATAGTTTAGTGCTTAAACCATCTCATGTTGTACCCATTTATAAATATATTTCTCATTCTCATAACTAGTGTTGCATAATTGACTAATTTTAGACGACTATAAAATGGCTTAGCTAATATTTTATGTGAATGAATCTAATTAGGCTAAGCATAAAAATTGGCTAAAATAAATTAGTCAAAAATTCTGCATCGTTGCCTAGCATTAATTATTATTTATTTATTTTAGTAAAATAATTTATTTTATTTATGTAAATATTTTATTATTATCAACAAATAAACATGATTTGATTTAATATTTTTTATTTATATTGTTATAAATGAAAATAAATTTATTTATTTGATGTTTTTTTAAGAAAAAAAATAATATGCTGTTATTGTAAAAATGTAATATTCTTTTTAATATAATTTATTAGTGATTTTCACAATTTTTTTTGTAAATACATCTTTTATTAAGGAATTATATTGTAAATTTTATTAGATAAAAAAAACAATCTTTTAGGTGAAATCTTTTATAATTTTTTTTATCAATTTTGTAAAATTATCTATTTTTTTATTAAATGAGTTGTTTTTTTCTAAATAATTTTTTAAAAATATTTATATTAAACTTTTTTGATGTTATTTTATATGATCTTTTTAAGGATAATATTTTTTTAATGTGAGAATTGTCATAATCTTTATTTTTAAAGTTTTTTGAATTTTTTTGACGAATATATGTTAAAATATGTATTGGTAACATATTTAAATAAAATTTAGTGAAGATGTACCATAAAAAAGTGACACTTGTCATAATCGTTATTTTTAAAGTTTTTTGATTTTTTTTGACGAAAATAGATTAAAATAAGTATTGATAACATGTTTAAAATAAAACAACATTAAAAAATCCAGGACGGGCCGGCCCTGAACATATAAAGTACAGACTAAAAATCCTGGCCAGGCCTAATTTTTTTTTGAAAAAAGGAGCCATCGCCGAAATTTTTATATTTTAAAAATTAGGGTCATGCAAATAAGACCTACTGCTCTCTCATAAATTAATTATTTACAAAAATACATTTAAAAATTTATAAACAACACTTAATATGAATAAAAATCACCTAAAAATATTTAATAAAAAAAATTTATTAATATTTACATCAAATTTTATGAAAAAATAGTAAAAAAAATGTCGAGTTAATGAATGATTATTTATCAATCAAATTATCTTTAGCTTAAAAAAAAATAAATATTTGTATTTTAATTTCTTAACCTATAAAATTAATTATATCACTAATTTTAACCCATTTGCTTCAAAAAACTTAGAAATAACGATTATGACATTGCTTATCTAGAGTACATTTTCTATTTAAATATGCTATCAATATTTATTTTAGCCTATTTATGGGTCATTCCATGTCAAATGAGCAAAAAAAATGAGATTTTCGGCCGACCCCCTTCGATTTTTTTAAAATTTAGTAAGCAAAGAAAGGGTAGTGTAGTTAAGAAATAGCCAAAATTTTAGCCTCGTAACATTTATATTTTTGGAGATATTAGGGTTCAAAGTGGCAAAAATGACGTATTTTTACCATTATCTGCCTTCATTCAATTAAGCATATCTTAAAAACTATCTAATTGTAAATAACAAATTTAATATCAAAATTACGTACAAAGATTCTACTTTTAGATAAAAAAAAAAAATTTTTTTTCAATTTCCGGCCATTTTATTAAATATATAAGGACTAAAAACGATTTTTTAGAAATTATACGACCTTCAATTTTTTTAAAAAATTTAGTAGACAACACTGAACTCTTCCTTAATATTTATAAAAAAAAATTGGTCTGGGACGAGGCCATTTTCATTCTCAAAATTGATAAAAATGTTTAGAAAAGTGTATAAATATTTTCCCGAAAGGGGGCGTCTTTGCATAAATTTATATTTAAATCAGTTTTTAATTGTTTTTCTTAGACTATTTGATATAATTTAAAGGAGTATTTATCTTGTAAGTGAAAATAACAATAAATGGGGCTTTCATTCAATTATAGAAATTGCCTATCGATAAAAGAGATTCAATTTATTACTTTATTTATAATTTTTTATAAAATTTTTTGCTAATATAACATATATTAATATTAATAAAATATATTCAACCAAATTTATACTTCTTGAATATATGAATCAGAATCTTTAGCATTTCATATATGGCGCCCTAAATATTAAAAATAATTGATATAATATAAATTTTAAAATCTAATATATAACTCACTTTTAAAAGATTCTAATTTTTCGGTAGCGCATTTACTTTCTTGTGACGACAATGTGTAACTACGGCCAGTAGCAGTTAACGGTGAAACTAATGTTAAGATATGACATTTTGGCAAGTAGAGAGTGTCGTCTAAACTTGGAAATGTAAAGGAATTAGAAGGTCCGGATGGGTGTAAAAACTTTATATATATTTCTTCCTCCTTTTGATTTTTCCCTAAAACTAAGGCTAACCACCAATTAGAATCATAAACACATGTTATATACCCTGATATCTCTCCAAAAATGATACTTTCATCATTATATGATAAATATTCTATATTACTTTCTATTGAATTGGAATACATTTTACTCTTAAATTGATGTAGACCTGTGGAAATCACCGTGTGAATTTTCTGTGTTCCAGGTATAGGTCTCGTTTTTGAAAACCTTTCCCTTAGTAATATTTCTTCGTGATCATAATTTTCTTGGGTCATATATTCAAAATATATGCCATTAATATTTTCTTAAGCGAACTCGTACAATTCATATGATGTGGTTATTTGCTCTGAGTAAGATCTTTGTAAACTAGCTCTAGCGGCTAATCTTTTAACAGTGCCACCAATCCCATCACAAACACTTTTCCCATGTGCTGTAGCAGAAAAATGCCATTCCGCCTGTATCCCGAAATCCATCTCATGATGGCAAATATTAATAAAATTTTTACGATTTTTATACTGTGCAGCAGATCCATCGGAAAAATAAAAAATTTTATTTGGCATACAAATTTTATTAATTAAAAAATTTACCAATGTTTTTTGGAAATAATGTACTGCTATTGTATTGTGTTGCAAAGATTCGGATATCATTACATAGGCAACAAATATTGGCTAAATTATCTTTATAATATATAACAAAAGGGTGAACAGTGGATTGAGCTCTATTCCAATGATAACTTTGTACTTCATCCTGAAGTATAAAGCTATAGTTTTCTGAAAAATCACATAAAATTAAATATTGGCCTTTGTCTAAGTTCAATTTTAGATTTTTTTGATACAATGATTGTTGCGTTGAAATAAAAGAATAGGGTAATAAAAATTCCATTTTTTCAAAAAAGGCATTGATAAATTCATCTACTGGCTTGGTTATTGTTTCAAGAGTGGTTCTATCTACGGATAGCCATTGTTTGTATGTTATAAATTCGATGTCCTTAGAACGAAACAATATTTCTATTTGGTGGCGTAAATTTGTTGACCCTGGACAATTATCACATTTGCCCAAATAACAGGATGGTTGAGGCGGATTACAAATTATTAAGGGTAAAATATGTTTATATGTTTTAATGGGCAACATATCATCTTTGGTTAAATTGGGTAAATTTGATCCAATGATCATTAATTTAAAATTTTGGTGGTAGCTGCAAACACAAACATTATGTGTACCACTACCTCCTACGAGTATACAATTTTTTGGGCGAATGCTTGCAAATTTCGAAAAACCGATTCTAACATCAGGCCTCATTTCCTTAAAAAATATATAAATTTCTTTCAAATTATTTAAAATTAATCTCTTTTGTATTGTATTCTTTTTTCCGTCTTCGGTCAAAATTGAAAGGCAATCTTTCTTGCCTGGCATGATTCTGCTTATTTCGTCCGTACAATAAAATTCTTGTACAATTTTAACTGTACATTCGTCTATAGTATTTCCAGGCTTGGGGTTAGGGGTTGATAAAAATCCCTTTTCCGCTATCAATAATTTAGCTTGTCTTGCCATGTATTTTGTTGTATTAAATTCATTCATTATTTTGGACACTGTCCAATTCTTTGGTAATATCGTCAAAATTTTATATTTATCAGTTTTAGATAAGAGTGAAAATTTTTTTTTAATATTGCTTAGAATACCATCATCTTTATCGATAGTAGCTGGCTCAATCGCATTTATATCTAAATGAGTTTCTATAGCCTTTTTTATTTTGGTAATTTTTTTAATTGGATATCTTTTTTCTCTCAACCTTTTCTTTTTTATTGGAGATTCTCCAATTTCTATCAATGATGTATTAATTGATTCATAAGCCAGGTTCTCTTCGATATGATGAATATCAGGGTCCT